TAGCCCACTAGGCTCCGCCCCCTGCACTGTAGCCCAGTAGGCTCCGCCCCTCCCCTGTAGCCCAATAGGCTCCGCCCCCTCCCCTGTAGCCCAGTAGCCTCCACCCCCTGCACCCCCTGCCCAGTGGGACCAAGTCCCCTGCTCCCCTGTTCACGCTTGTTCCCTGACAACAGGAATTCAGACAACCTTCAGCACTGTGATAAAGTCCTGTTTTTCAGAAATTCCTGGCTATAAATTCTTCTCATTAGGACCTGATTTATATACTTCTGGTTCCACAAGCTGCGTTCCATCGCCTTTGGTGGAGGGCCCACTGTAAATGTTTTTCCAGGCTGAACTGAAAAGCAAAACGAATCTCCTCGACTGTTAATACAAGCATTCGGAGATTAAACACACCAACCCCTGCAACTTCCCGGCCACATATTTTGTCTGCAGCATCGAGACAGTTTACACATGAAGGGAATCTCTTTGTTTTAAAAGGAGATAACTTTTTTTTTTAAAGGGAAATAACTTTGTTTTAAAGTTAATATTTATTTAATCTATCCAGTGTTCCCAAGTTATAAAATGTTGGCTAATCCACAGAATGTTATTTAGAATAGTTGTTTCCATAATTTCTAAGTGAATATACATGTCTTTGAAAGTTTTGATAAGACATCGTGTAGTACATGTGTAATTTCCTTTCCTAACTTTTTATTTTGAAAAATTTTAAACCTGTAAAACAGTTCCAAGAATAGTGCAATAAACTATCTTTTTTTTAGATTAAGTTTTTTAAGAACACCTTTGTTTATTTTTTCACACTATAGTATTTCTCCCCTCAGATGTCATCACTATAGTTTCCCCACAGACAAAACACCCACAATCCTACACTACCCTCTACCAAGTTCTCCTCCCCATTGCTCTCTTCTCTCTCTTCATCCCTGATTTCTCAGTGTCTCAGATCTAAGGTCTGCTTTCAAGGGTCAGCCTTATAGTTTGTGATACTTTGGTTTCTCTAGATCTCACATATAAGTGAAACCATCTGGTATTTATCTTTCTCCTTATAGCCACTTAGAATAATCCCTTCCAGTCCTATCCATGTTGCTGCAAATGGCATGAATTTATCTTTTTGACTGCTGAGTAGTATTCCATTGTGTATATGTAACCACATCTTCTTGATCCAGTCATCTGTTCTGGTGCATTGAGGTTGCTTCCATGTCTTGGTTATAGTAAGTAGAGCTGACATAAACATAAGGGTGCAGGTTTCCCTCTGAGTTAATATTTTTGTGCTCTTTGGATAGATTCCTAGGAGTGGAATTGCTGGGCCATATGCTAGATCCTTTTTGTTTTTTTTTGTCTTTTGAGGATACTCCATTCTCTTTTCCATAAGGGCCGAGCCAGTCAACATCCCATCCAACAGTGTATCAGGGTTCATTTTTCTCCACACTCTCACCAGCATGTACTGAATAAACTATATTCTTCTCTAGCAATATTCATTGCTAACATCTTACTGATTGCTATGTGTTGCCTAACAGGAGTGCTTTTGTTTTTTATTTTTATTTTTGCTGAGTCTTTTGGTCAGTTGCAGACATAGTAATACTTGGATATCTGTTAAGAGCAAGAGCAGCCTTAGGTGTGACCACTGTATTGTTGTCATTTTCAGGGGTCATTGCTGAGACAGCCCTCTGTAGACTGGTACCTAACACACAGCTCCTATTTAAATATGGGTTTTGGTAATGTGGGCTCCATGAATTAGCCCCACGGTCAGCCCCTGACCTGCACCGGCAGGGGACAGTTCCTTGTCTCATGCTTTTGGTCTACTGACGCCACTTCACTGGCCAGAGGGCTGACTCAGAGTCCCTTCACCCACGTGTCCTGGGCATTCCATTTCTGAGGTGTTTTCCGAGTGCACTGGTTATTCTTATGTCTTATGGATTGCGAGACCCACAGCAGCCATCAGTTTTCCAAGGAACTTCCTCTTCTACATGGAACTAGCTTGAATGCTTTGAGCTTTTCTGCACAAATATGCCACAGACCTCTTTGTCTGGGAAGGAATTGCCTCTCTAAAGTAGTTGGTAGTTTTATGGTAGGTAAATGCAATTTTCCAGCTTAGGTATTTGATTCAGGCTTCCTCAGTTTCGTGAAGTCACTAAAGGAAAGGATTTTCTTCTTGTCTTTGGTTCTTGGCTGAGACACATTGTATAATAAAGGACAGATGAACAGGAGAAAAACAAACTTAATATTATATGAATGGGAACCACAAAGACATGGGGCTTTACAGGCAAATGAAGTTTATATGTCATTATGAGCTAAGAAGTGGGTAGGGACTTAAAGGGGAGAAGGCTAATTCACAAGTGGATAAGAGCAGATGTTTGGTAATTAGATGTGTGCCCTGCCATACAGATGGGTCATTCAGATAAAAAGTCAGCTTTGGGCCAGCCCTTCTGGATAAATTATTTTAGATAGTTAGGGGAGAACTAAAAGGTTCGTTTTTATAACCTACTGGATCTTGATTACCTTCAGCAGTATTGCCACATGCCAAAACAGCACCTTTTGGGGAGGCTCGTTCTGTACCCCTCCTCACATAAAATGGTAGAAAACTGATTTTCCACTTGGGCATCCATCTCCTAAGCAGTCACTTTTCCCTGGTGCCACGTTGTAAATCCCGTCTTAGAAGACTCTCTAGCTTTCCTTGAATTTTCCAGCAGCATTCCAGGAACCTTCCTGGCTTACTCAGACCAGGTCAACCTGTTTCCTTGCACCATTACTCTGATGCTGAATCACTGTGAGAGGTACCCAAACCTGAGGCTAGTAGCCCCCCAAAATAATCCAGATATGTCACAGCCACCTCAAAACCCTTCTCAGTAACTAGTCAGCAGTCCAGCCACTAAATAATTATTGTTAACTTTATGATCATTACTGAAAAAAAAAACTACAAAGCAAGCTTTCATCCATCAAAAGTAGCAATGTTGTTCTTTTTTTAAAAATAGATTTATTTTTGTGTAGAAGAACTGCCCACTTCTCTTTCTCTTGGATTTCTTTGCCATGGGACATCTGTACCACCTCAAATGCCTTCTTTGCTTTCCTGTGTTTTTTCAAAAAAGCAGCTTCGGTACCTACTTAAAATAGGTCCTCATCCTTCCCATGCTTTTATCAGATGTTTACCATGTGTATCAATTTCGTCCCTCCAGCTTTCGTCCCCTTCCCTGGCACTCCCCATTTTACCCAGAATCTGTGCTGGGAGTAGTAGGATGGGAGTCAAATACAGCACCCACATATCTTTCCTTCTGAGGAGAGAAGGGGGGAGACTGTAAACCCTCGCTATGTAATTTTTAAGTGGCTTCAACAAAATCAACTCCCCAATTATACCTTTCTTTGAGAATATGCCTGTAGCCCTTGTCTGACCCCTGAGGGTGCTCAGAACTAAGTTCAGAGTGCTACTTACTGCTCTTTATTTGCTTGATGTTCATTCCACATTACTTACTTCTTTCAAAGTAATTTACTTTGGTACTATAAAAATACTTCTTTATAAGCACACTTTCAAATAAAAGTAGTATTAAGATGCAGTGCACATACTTTACAACTTACCCTGTTAAGGTGATAAATTGGTGCTGATTCATATACTCATGGGCTTGTACAGACATCACCTTTATTGAATTTTAGGACATTTCATCATTCAAAACCAAACTTAGTGCCTGTTAGTAGTTGCTTCCCATTCTCCTCCCCCACCAGCTGGTGGGGGCCTTTTCTGCATCTTTCATATAAATGAAATAAAGATTATTAACAATCTTGTGCAGCCATCACCACTGTCCAGTTCCAGAACTCTTCATCACTATCCATCAGAACTCCATGCCCATTACCCACGAGTCTCTGCCCTCCAGCTCCCAGGAGGTGTCAATCTTTATGAATTAGCCAATCCCAGGCATGCCACCTGTGTGGAGGTTTATAGCATCTGACCTTTGCAGTCTCATTTGTTTCATGTAGAAGAATATCTGAGTTCATCTGCATTGGGTATGTGCAGGACTTCATTCCCTTCCACACAAATGCCTCTTGTGAGCAGGTCCAGTGTAGTTTTTAAAGGCATGGACTTGCACTGTTTGAAGACATGTGAGCATCTATCTGGTTTAATTTTAAACCCTCACCTAATGAAGAAAAGTTGCGTCATCTTCTAGAAGTTTTGGCTTTAAGACCCTGGGATAGGGTCTTAGAGAGAGGCACCATCTCCCCCACGCTATTCTTGCCTCTTGTACTTACTTGTGAAGTCAGGTGGTATTTCTTTTTTCTTTTTAAAGATTTATTTATTTATGCAAACAAGAACTGGGGTACAGGCCAGAGTTGTGGGGGTGAGAGGATTCACCAGAGACAGATTGGAGAACAAAACAGTTGGATCTACTGAAATACACGGCTGAGGGGAGCAGTGGGCGAGACCGGCAAGGTCTGCCATGGTGGGTCAGTTCCCTGGCTGGGGATTGAACTGGTGCTGCTTTGGCTGGGACAGCGTCATAGTGTTGAGACTTACCCCTCACTCCACCGCGGAGGCTCTGGAAGGTCTTCTGAAAAATTGCTCACGGCAGTGACAAAGACTTGTGAGTGGATTTCAGATGGGGCTTCTTTGTGGTAAACCATGAGAAAGAGGTGTTTTGCTTTTCCTAATGTTTATATACCAGGGATGACCCTTGATAGGGACAAAATACGTACCTTGCTTTTGCCTGCGCAGGGCATTAGTGTCTGTGTGTGAGTACCACACAGACTTTGACTTCACCCCCACAATTGTGCTAGATTTCTAGCCTTTTAGCTTATTAATTTTCCAAATAAGGGTACTCCGATTGTTGTTTGCACACTCTAATTGTTGCAAGGCATGCTCGTCCCGCACACATGCTTATCCAAGTCTGTATAAATGGGCTAGGTTCCATTCTTCATTTATAAGAGAAAGTTATGTGGATTCCGTTAACGTCGGACTTGTCTTGTTTATGCTGTTTTCTGAAATAAACACAAGAGAAATCACCAGCATTCTCTTGACTCCTTAGATTAAGACTTTGGAACAAAACAAAGCTATCGAATACCTACATAAATCCAGAGACAAACTGGAGAAGATGAAGGAGAAAGCCGAGAAAAAGTTGATGTCTGTTAAGTCAGAGTTGGACACGACAGAACATGAGGCCAAGGAGGACAAAGAGAGGGCCAGGAACATGATCGAAGTGGTCACCAGTGAAATGAAGACGCTGAAAAAATCCCTGGGAGAAGCTGAAAAGAGAGAGAAACAGGTGGGTAGGAGTCTGGTGGTCAAACCTTGTTTCAGAAAGCACCGGATTCGCATGCTCACGCTAGTCACGTGTTCCTCAGCAGTGCATACGCATAGACGTCAGAAGCAATGCAGAGCTGTCTCTGTCATTTCAACCTCTCTGCCTGCCTTCTGGCTTGTTTTAGCCATGGAAAAAAGCCATTAGAATTTACTCCCCTGGAGGAAATAATTCATGTTTTCGTGGCACGGATTGCAGGAAAGAAAAGGACACTTATCAGAGCGTGGAAGACCCGTGCCAAGCCGGGTCCTGAGATGGGTCCCTTTGGGTTTTGTCCTCTGTCTGCCTCTGAAGTTCGGTCACCCCAGAGCAGCTAACGCTAACCAGCTCTCTAGTCTCGGGAGGGAGCCGTATCTCCAGCAGAGATCGGTGCAGGAAACAACCCCAAATAACACACAGTGGCATGGAGACTTGGTAGCCGACCAAGCCCAGATGTGGGCCGTAAAACTGAGCTCAGCCCTGCCTGGCCCAAGGCGGAGAGCTTTATCTGGGGAGCTCATCGGGCGGTCAGGCTTAAAGCAACTCGTACTGGGCAGCTTGACCCCTGCTGCTTTTGGCTTTCATCTCGCTCTCTTTCTGGAGCTCAAAAGGCCAGAGGGTGGATTCTGCCCCTCAGGCTTTTTATTTGGCTCCCTCTGCTTTGGCTCATGAGGCAGGCGGAGTTGAGGCAGACCAAGCTCGTAAGAGCATCTTGGAGGGAAATCGCTCAGAAATTAAGCACTTTGACCATATTCAAGAGGGCGGAAAAGTTTGAGGGCAGCTTTGTCATCTAGGAGGCCTGGCTGAGAGGCTGCCGGGGCTCCCAAATTGGACTCAGCCCCGGAAGGAGGCTGGGAAGTGAACGAGCAGCGTTGGGAGCGTCAGGGAGGCAGGTGTCTTGGATGCAACATCTGTCCCTCCAGTCAACCCGAGTGCCCTGTTTATAAAATAAAAAGGCTGGCCTCCTTGGAGACCCCGAAGGTTCTTCCTTCAGCAACTTCACAACCACCCTCTCAATGGCAGGTGCCTCTGGCCCAGACAGCGGCCCTCCCCCACCTCTCTGCCTCCAGGCTACAGGACCTCAAGGGGCTTGGAGGCACATTTGAGCCAAAGGGCCAGCCCTGCCCTTCCTCCCCGGCCAGCCCTGCCCTTCCTCCCCTCCCCCATCCTGCTTTTTACACTGAACACCTGCGTTTCCAGGCAGGCCCGGGTGACTGATTCCGAGGTGCAGCGTGCCCACCATTCAGTGGCTCTCCTCTTTCTTCAGCTCTTCCTTTCTTCTCATTTGTTCATCTTCTAGTGTTAGTGGCTCTTTGCCCTGTTAAAATTCCAGGGCACACGTGCCTGCCCCCAGGGACACAGCCATAGCAACACCCGCAGCGCCCTTCCCGCTATGGAGGTTCACACTCAGTTGTCATTTCCTGACCTGGATTTCAGCCCAGCCCTGGCAGAGAGGCATGCGGTTGACCCCCCCAAAATCCCCTCCCCACCCCAGAATGAGAAAACAGTGAGGTCCCCCTCGTTCCTGGTTACCTCACTGGGATCTGATCCCTGACTCTGTTTTCAATACCATGGGATCAGCTTGTCAGAAAAGTGGTTGTGACATTGCTAAAGGGAGAACTTTCAGGGTCTCCGAGGAGGCCAGCCTTTTTATTTAACACCAGGGACCTCAGGTTGACTGGAGTAAGCCATTTGCTTACCCAACACCTTGGCTTGGCGAGTGTTGATCCTCGGTCTCAGTTCACCTTTCTGCTTCATGTTGCAGCTGGTGGACTTTAGGGAGGTGGTTTCCCAGATGCTGGGCTTGAACCTGACCAGTCTCGCTCTTCCTGACTACGAGATCATCAAGTGCCTTGAAAGACTGATCCATTCGCACCAACATCACTTTGTGCCGTGTGCCTGCCTCAGAGATGTGGCCAGCGGGCAAGAGAGACCCTCTCAAGGCCTCTTAAAACTTCCAAATTGAGCAACATTGCTCTTGAGGGAGGTGGCACTAGGAGATGACACAATTCTAAATTCCACATATTCCCCAAACCTTTGAAATTTGATCAGTGTGTGACTATGTGCACCCTGGTAGTGGAACAGGAGGCGATGGTTCGTGATACAGGAATCTCCAAGGTGCTGCTGCGGGAAAATGCTTGGCACTGAAGTCACCTCTGATTGCATTTGTTGGCATGTATGGACCCAGAGAAATTCCACTAGACTGCACATGTGGAGTGAGACGTCTCTTATGAGTCAGGGGATTTAGTCCCCAATTTAATTGGCATAATAACCACACAGAAACACTTTAGCATTTTTATTTCACAACCTCTCCAGCGCGCGTTCGTTACCTACTCAGGATGGGCTAGTGAGGGAATCAGAGGGTATTGTATGTTGGCTCCGAGTCGAAGGCCCCCTTCTTGGCTACCTCAGTCCTTGGCCTCTCCTGAGCCGTTTCTGATGGAAAGCCCCTGCAGAAGGGAGGAAAGCAGCCACCAGGCCAGGAGCTGAAGCACAGAAGTGAGTGAGACCGAAGACGTGACCTGTGTGATTACCTTAAACAGCAGCACACACCTAGTGGAGGTGGGTGACGACGCAAGCAAAGTAATGCCAGAGAAAAAAGGTAAACAGTGGATGGTCTCACTTACATGTGGGGCATAGGGAAACCAAACAGAGAGTCGAGGAAAAGACAGAACTTGCAAACTCATCACCGATCTGAAGCACCAGCAAGAGGCAGGGAGGGAGAGCGCAAGGGACTGTGGGATGGCTGGGGGGGGGGCGGGGTGCTGGGAGGCTGTGGTGGTGGGAGAACCGTGGGACTACACTGAGGGGAGACATCAAATACTACGAAAATGAATAATGATGTACGAAAGTTAATTAATTATATGAAAAAAGAAAGCAAAAAATGCACCTAATTAATTAAATAAACGAACATGCATCTGCGATCCTAGAAGACACTTGGTTTAACCTTTGTTACCATCTTGCTCTAGCCGTAACTTTTAATGCCTGAACTGGTCTGATACCGGTACTTTAAAAGTGAAACTTTGAGGAGACTCAGCACTGGAACCCTCCACGCTCTCATTCACCAGTCCCTCAACTGCATGCACAGCTGAGGCTCTTTGTCAGGGGAGGGATTTTTTTTTTTTTTTAAGAATTGTTGTCACTTCCTGCCTTACTTTTTAAAAAAGATTTATTTATTTATGGTTATAGAACTGGGGTACAGGCCAGAGGTGCAGGGGTGGTGAGAGGCTTCACCAGAGACAGAGTGGGGAGCAGAACAGGCTGATTAGCAAAGTACACTGCTGAGGGGAGCAGTGGGCGGTCAGGAGAGGTCTGCCACATCATGAGGTGACGTCAGCTCCCTGGCAGGGGATTGAACTTGTGCTGCAGTGGCTTTGGAGAGCTTCATAATGCTGCAGTTTAACCCACTGTGCCACCAGGGAGGGCCCACTTTTAAAAATGTGGTTTGCAAATATTTTTCCAGAAACCATATCCTTAAGTTCATTGAGAAAACACATTATTCTTTTAAGTGATCATCTTTGCTCTGCCACATGGAATTAATTTTAAACACTTAATTAGTTCTTATTTGTGTGTACACCTATGTTTCTCATTGTGGTAATGTAGGTGTTCAGCAACGTACATGGTTTGGGGGATAGGCTCACCCCTGTTCATATCCCACTTGTCACCAGCAAGTGGTGGGAATTTTTTGTAGTCTCTGCACAAAGCTTTGGTGTCTCATTAAAGGAGAGGAGGAAATAAGATTACATTCAGGCATTAAGAGAAATTGAAAACTCTAAAAATTTACTTATAAAAATTATTATGCATGTACAAGGAATTCAAATAGGGAAAGAAGAAGTAAAACTATCCTTATTTGCAGATGATATGTTAATTTATATGGAAAACCCTAAAAGCTCCACAGAGGAACTAATCAA